TGTTGTTGTTATTGTTATTGTTATTGTTATTGTTGTTGTTGTTGTTATTGTTATTGTTATTGTTATTGTTATTGTTATTGTTATTGTTATTGTTATTTTCCTTTGGCGTCAAATGTCTCCTTTACTGTATTCATAAAAAACAGATGGAATTAATCAAAAGAAATACATGAAATAATACATAGCAAATTAGATTACAACAATTTTACACTGGATTTGAAATCTCCAAACCATATACTGTGACACACGTACAGCCTACTGGTACAAACTTAACCCATACCTAATGCTAAGTTCTGATTGGCAAAATCTTTGATTCTAAACTCAATGTCTGGAACAAGCTGGACAGCTTGTCGATAAAAATAAATAGGTGAAAAGGAAGGTAAAAATGTTAATACTAACTTAAAATGACAACCACTTCATTAGTATGGCTACTAAATCTTTCTTCATCCCAAAAAAGAACCTTTGTCAGCGGTTTTCTTATTTTAAGAACCCCTTTAGTATAACTACAGGGTATATATCCTTTTCAACCTGACACCAACAATTTTGATTTGCTTATCTCCGAGTGGACATACTGTTCTATGTTTTACATGACTGTATTATTAACTGTTTTTACATGTAGTATTACCGCTAATTGTCAGGGCTGTATTAATGGAGTTCCCCTACATGTACTTGTAAGTATATCTTTTAATCTTACTACAGTACAAATACACAATCCTGAAAATGCTTGGTTAATGAGCGATTTACACTACAATATAGCTGCATGACTTAACAATAACTGACAAGGAGCTGTCACTGGTAACTGCACATGTACGTACTTCAATGGTCCAATACATGTACTAACATGTAGAAAATAATGGACCTTCAATTCACTTAATATTATTGACTGATTAGAGTTATTGGCCTGCTTAGCCATCTTAACAGTGTATGTGTAACAATGTAATTGATTTAGTAAGTATTGGATCTAAAAGAAAATCGTAATATTAAATGAACACAATGTACAGTACATGTATGACATGTATGCATGCCATTACTATATGTACCAGGATCAAAGGCCCAGGAGAATTAACTGAAGCTGGAGGTAGAATGGGCCATACAGTAAGCGGTATTTTAAATCCCAGGCCAAATGTTACCTTCATAAACATTTCCACTCCTTTCAGCAGATACTCCCTGCTGGAACAACTGCGCTACCTATTCAAAAAAAAACAAAACAAAATTTTATTAGACTGAATAAAAATACAAAAGTGAGACTCAAGCTTTTGGCCAGATTGCAGGCATCCTGTGGATGGTGACTTTCTAAAGTAAATTGTTTTTAATTGTAATTATCATGTTGCCAGGGCTCTCATTAAGTTTTGAGTCACCTGTTGCCTAATGGTCTCCACACCTGCAGCAAACTTGCTACTTTCTGGGTGAATTCTATCAACAACAGGCAATTTCACCCATAACATCAAGGGAAAATGAAGCATACTCAGCCGGCACACTGTAGCAAGTGTGACGGGTTACGGCCCTTAATGACAGCCCTGGTTGCCATTATTGTTCATTTGAGCAGGCTCTATAGCGCACTTTGGACGCCCACTGTTCGAATCCTGGCTAAAAGCCTGGTGAGACTCCAGGCTTGAAGTTTCTTGTGGCTCACAGTTGGAAAGAGGACTTTTAAAAAAAAGAAGGAAATACAGTGTACCACAATTTTTAGTTGGTGTGTTTACATGTAGGTCACCAGAGTTATAATCGAGGCAGCACTACAAGAAGTGTCTTGCCCAAAACCATGATGAAATGACCTTGACCAGGGCTTGAACTCTAACCTGACTCAATCTGGAGTCCAAATTAGTGCACCATGAATCAGTTGAAGGGCTGCATTATAAAAGAACCTAAGTGACATCTGATAGACTGCAAGATTCTCCTAGCAAATTGTTTTTTGCTCTCTTGTACAATAAAGGAGACTTTGACATGAAATCAAGAGTCACTTAGGGCTTTTTTCCACACACCCCTTCAATTATTTCATGGTCGTACACCCTATGAACATACATGTATTTAATGGGTACTACCTTTTCCTCCAACTGCTGTGCTGCATTAGCTGAATTCTTTCTTGCTAACACCAGAGGACTCGGTGATCCTTCGCGACTTGGTTGAGTGGTTGACTCTGTAGTTGGAGAATTTCTGGATGAACCACTTTCATTTGCTGACCGCTGGATCTCTTCACGCCACTCACGTCGAAATGAGGCAAGCTCGTCTTCCAGTCTTCCCTCATCCTAGCAAGAAACAAAAATAATAATAAGACTAAGTAATTAGCACAGGGCCTTATATATGCCATACATGGCATATGCCGTACTTCATCACTACTACATTGTACATGATTATGGCTTATGCAATCCTGTGTAAGACGGTGTAAGACTAACTGTAGACCCGACCATACGTAAGCAAAATATTTAGAAATCAAACTATTATACGCTTAACGGCTTAACTCGTATAATGCATAACAGAAGTGTTGAGTACTTTGGAAGCAAATAATTTAAGTTAAGCTTAAGTTTATGCAATGTTATCCGGCTGCAGGACATCTGACACTCGATTACTCCAGGACTGTTTTTGGTGACAAGTTCAAAACATGATTGCTTGATGCAGGCTTTGAAAAAACCATACAAATGCTTACCGCCATCTTATAGTGATATTGTGATGCCGTAACAAATTAATTGTTCCCGTTTTCCAACAAAATAAAACAACGAATTAGACAGTTTACACTTCGCAGCATTATCCGCCATCTTTGTCGCTCAGGTACCTTGACCCCTTAGGGAAGGGGCCCCCCCATACTCCATATGACAAACATTTTGATTGGCTCAAGCAGTAAACCAATCAAATAATCCATAACAAGAATGAAGAACGCGAGAAGCTGGTGATGAGAAAAGCAACCAATCACAAGCGAACGAATGAAAGGCAGAGAATTCAAACTATATACAGGTCTCCAGCACAAGTTTTCGAATACCGGTAGCTTCCGATCCCTGGCTTTTCCCTAGCATTTTTACCCGCGATCGTGAGAAATGGCCAATACAGACAACATAAGGGTTGCAATCAGAGTTCGTCCGTTGATAAAAAGGTAAGTTCAGAGATCCTGTCCAACGAGCTTGAGATCACCATACGAAACTGATCGAGTCGTTCTGTCCTGTTTCTTCTTCAATTTGTTTTCCCAGAGTATGTAAGCTTTTACTCAACTGTAATACCGGTTCTGGAAAGCTCCAGAAATATCGAACTATGTGTTTCTAGGAGCCTAAACTACAGGTTCTCCATCTCAGATCTAATATGAGATTGCTGCTAGTGACCAATGAGCCATGTATATACATGTACATTAACACACTACACAATTCGCACGATTTCTCTGCAAATTTGAAAGCCACTTGTAAGCTAACTAGGATTCCAAAAGCCTATTCAGTTGCACCGGCAGTTGCATGCTCTAGCTGACATTGCCATCAAATAATTGAGCTTAGCTAACTAGCCTAGATTGAATTTTTTTATTATTATTCTTATCATTATATATTATTAACTGTGTTAATAAGTTACTATATTTTCCTTCTTCAGGGAAAATGATTCCAATCATTCAATCAATTGGAAGGTTGAAAAAAACACTATAAGCCAATTGTCTAATGGAAAGATCGTCCCAAACTCATCGTTCATTTTTGGTAAGACAAGAAATGTANTATATTGTAGTTCCCTCACAACTTTTTTCCTCTTTGTCCACTCATCATGCTTTATCCCAAGTATCCATTGTTACAGCACCCACTGTGCGTATGACAGGCTGTACTTGAGTCAGTTAGTCACAAGGACTTTAAATACATTGCCGAGGTAATTTCATCATTTTTGCAGGAACTCTATTTGCCTATGGGCAGACATCATCTGGAAAAACATATACCATGATGGGAGATCAGCAAAATCAAGGTGTCATCCCCAAGGCAGTTGGCGAAATATATGATTATATTGAAAAGGTATATTACAAAATTGAATAATTATACAAAGTTTTAGCAGGATAGGAGAACTAGTCGTTTGGTGTGACGTTGCCCAGGCAGTAAGGAGGTCTGGCCCTCTCTCTATCAAGCGACGCTATGCTCTTGGGAGAGGGACTCTGTCCCTAAAACACAGGACTAACTGATACATTTAAGCTGTTCAGGGGCCTTCATTGTTCACTCATTGTATCCTTTTTCAATTGATTCTTCATGTTAAATTATAGCCATGTGTACCAAAGGCATCTGTCGATTGATACTCTTGATCAATATAATACCCTTGATCGAAAATTAGTCGACCCTCGACTGCAGATGCCTTTAGTACTCATGATCCAAATTGTAGAACTGCTGCATATATCGCATGTACTTCACTGTATTATTTGGTAAATGTAGAATTTAAATGAATTGTAGCTTCTGGATTATGAAATTAGTTTTTCTATCTCCTTAGCATCCCTCTAGAGAATTTTTGATTCGAGTATCGTACATGGAAATCTATAACGAGGTAAGTCAGTACATGTTTCTTAATTATTTTTTTTCCCTCAACTTAACACCACAGGCGTCTTCATTTAGTTCATTTAGTTCTGTCACTACATGTACATTCAGTACTTGTTTGAAATTATTGTACATCCAGGTTAGCTACATGTACATGTACAAGCACTTAGGGAGATAATTATGTCTAATGTTTGTCAATTGTTGTGTTAACAGCTAGCAGTACATGTATATCACAAAGAAAGAAATTATGCACTTTGCGCTTATTTCTTAATGAAACTTTTTTCAAAAATGCATACAGGCTGCCCTTCCTCCATTTACATGTAGCTCCCTCATCCCCACCCCCATTTTTCTTTGAAAAAACATCGTCCTGCATTCCATTCAAGTTTTTCTGTTTCAGATTCCTTTTTCATACGATGGGAAATAAAACCTTTCTTTCAATGTTTCAGGATATTAAGGATTTGCTGAATCCATCTAAGACGAATCTCAAGATCCATGATAACGCTCAGGTGAGACAATTTCAATCCAGAAGCGACTGACACAAAAACACAGAGTTGTCGATTACGAGGGAGCAAATGCGAAACAGATAGGACAATGTAATAAAGAACTACTTGAGGAGTTCGTATGAAATAACGGAATCGCGAAGCATGACAGACAGCGGGAATTGAGAAGGGACTGGGTATGAGTCAATCAAGCCTTCGCTTGGCCAATAATAGTCAGGGGAACAGAAATCTTTGTTTTGTCTCGAAGAGTTTCCGTTTGTTTTCATGCAATTAAAAACGCGAGTCGCTATCTTTCGCTAGCTTTTCTTACATGTAAATACGAATTGAAGTAAGTGTGCGGCCTCTCTGCGCGTCTAGTTTCTGTACCATAAGTGGACGCAAAAAAAGTCAACAACAACAACGACAACGACACTTTTCCTATCAGTGAGACACAGGAGTTCATTTTTGATCAGGAGTTGTTTGTTTTTTAGAGGCAAGTTTACGTTGGTGATCTTACAGAGGAGGTTGTGTCCTGTCCCGAGGACGTGTTCAAGCATATGATGCGGGGAGAGAGTAAGTTATAACTAACCACGGATGAAGCGTCTCGGATTCTGACAATTTCCGAGGTTGCCTAACCAGTCATCAGTTTTTCACCCGAGCCACGGGCGCTGCATCGAACAAGGACTCCAGAACGCACGGAACAGTCTTGACACGGGTTGATGTCCTTGATGTTGGCTTCCGGCTGTTGGCGCGGCTGACGAGACGGCATTTTTTGCAACTAGAGTTGAACCTACGGCCTGTTTATAACGTAGTGGTGTTCACGAATTACATGTATGCACTAAACATGATCAAGCTGTTTCTAATGTTTCAGAGTTACCAAGTATCGCACACACACAAAAAAGAATAGTCTAACTAACCGCGTGCGAGGGCCGTACTGGGGAATATTGGCCCGAGGGTCGTGCCAGTACAGAACGAGCGCCGCAAGGTCCGTACAAGAAACGACCACTGGCCAATATATCCCAGTACGGCCCTCGCGCGCGGTTACCATAGCGCGTAATGCTGTTTAAAGATCAAGCCCTCACAGAATCTTGTTTGCACTTTCTGACCTTTTTTTGTTCTTGTTTCCTTCCCTAGAAAATCGGCACTTTGGTGAAACTAACATGAACGACCGCAGTAGCAGAAGTCACACAATTTTCCGAGTGGTAAGTTATCCGGTGCCAGTTACTCCAACTCGATCCCAGAGACTAAATTTCAACGAAAAGCATCACAAAAAAAAAATTGTTCGCGCGCAATCTTGGGGCGAGATGGTACATGTGTCTTCTAGCACCCAGATTTCCCACGCCCTTTTTTCCTTTCGCGCTTCTTTTGGAGACTAATGGAAGAACAGAGCTGCTCCCTAAATTATATCCTCATCTNGCTTGGCCAATAACAGTCGGGGAAACAGAAATCTTTGTTTTGTCTCGAATAGTTTCCGTTTGTTTTCATGCAATTAGAAACGCATCGAGTCGCTATCTTTCGGTTGCTTTTCCTGCATGTAAATACGGATTTTAGAAAGTGTGTGGCGTCTCTGCGCGTCTAGTTTCTGTACCATAAGTGGACGAAAAAAAGACAAAAAAAAAAACATTACAACAGCAACACTTTTCCAATAGTGAGACACAGAAGTTCATTTCTGATCAGTAGTTGTTTGTTTTGTAGAGGCAAGTGTATGTTGGTGATCTTACAGAGGAAGTTGTGTCCTGCCCCGAGGACGTGTTTAAGCACATGATGCGGGGAGAGAGTAAGTAACAACTAACCACGGATGTAGCGTCCTCGGATTCTGACAACTTCCGAAGTTGCCTAACCAGTGATCAGTTTTTCACACAAGTAAAGCGGCGCTGCATCGAACAAGGACTCCAGGACGCGCGGAACGGTCTGGACACGGGTTGATGTCCTTGATGTTGGCTTCCGGCTGCTGGCGTGGCTGACGAGACGGCTTTTTTTTGCAACTACGGCCTGTTTATAACGTAGTGGTGTTCACGAATTACATGTATGCAAAACATGATCAAGTTGTTTCTAATGTTCCAGAGTTACCAAGTATCGCACACACCAAAAAGGAATAGCCTCTAGTCAAACTAACCGCGCGCGAGGGCCAATATTTTCCAGCACGGCCCTCGTGTGCGGTTACTCTAGCGGGTAGTGCTGTTTAAAGATCAAGCCCTCAAAGAATCTTGTTTGCACTTTCTGGCTGTTTTTTGTTCTTGTTTCCTTCCCTAGAAAATCGACACTTTGGTGAAACTAACATGAACGACCGCAGTAGCAGAAGTCACACAATTTTCCGAGTGGTAAGTTATCTGGTGCCAGTTACTCCAACTCGATCCCAGAGGCTAAATTTCAACAAAAGGCATCGCAAAAAACAAAAAAACTGTTCGCGCGCAATCTTGGGGCGAGATGGTACATGTGTCTTCTAGCACCCAGATTTCCCGCGGCCCTTTTTCCTTTCGCGCTTCTTTTGGAGACTAATGGAAGAACAGAGCTGCTCCCTAAATTATATCCTCATCTNATGTTGGTGATCTTACAGAGGAAGTTGTGTCCTGCCCCGAGGACGTGTTTAAGCACATGATGCGGGGAGAGAGTAAGTAACAACTAACCACGAATGTAGCGTCCTCGGATTCTGACAACTTCCGAAGTTGTCTAACCAGTGATCAGTTTTTCACACGAGCCACGCGGCGCTGCATCGAACAAGGACTCCAGGACGCGCGGAACGGTCTGGACACGGGTTAATGTCCTTGATGTTGGCTTCCGGCTGTTGGCGCGGCTGAGAGACGGCTTTTTTGCAACTACGACCTGTTTATAACGTAGTGGTGTTAACGAATTACATGTATGCACTAAACCTGATCAAGTTGTTTCTAATGTTCCAGAGTTACCAAGTATCGCACACACCTAAAAAGAATAGCCTCTAGTCTAAGTAACCGCGCGCGAGGGCCGTACTGGGGAATATTGGCCCGAGGGTCGTGCCAGTACAGAACGAGCGCAGCGAGTCCCGTACAAAAAACCACCGAGGGCCAATATTTTCCAGTACGGCCATCGCGCGCGGTTACCATAGCGGGTAATGCTGTTTAAAGATCAAGCCCTCACAGAATTTTGCTTGCACTTTCTGACTGTTTTTTGTTCTTGTTTCCTTCCCTAGAAAATCGACACTTTGGTGAAACTAACATGAACGACCGCAGTAGTAGAAGTCACACAATTTTCCGAGTGGTAAGTTATCTTGTGCCACTTACTCCAACTCGATCCCGGAGGCTAAATTTCAACGAAAGGCATCACAAAGAAAAAAAAAAAATTGTTCGCGCGCAATGTTGGGGTGAGATGGTACGTGTGTCTTCTAGCATCCAGATTTCCCGCGGCCTTTTTTCCTTTCGCGCTTCTTTTCGAGACGAAGGGAAGAACGGAGCTGCTCCCTAAATATCCTCCTCTTAAATTTGCAGTTCTTTAAGTCTTCCACTACCAAGATACCCTACCTTTCTTTTTGCTTGTTTATTATCATTGATGGCGCTTTCTTTTCCTTTTTTTTCCAGGTTATCGAGAGTCGAGAAATGATGGACGAAAGCAAAGACCGCGATGCGATAGATGGTGNCCCGTGTCGGCATGTCTTCCGAAGCAGAACGAAGTATTACCTCTGGTACCCAGGGTAGAGTCTGGTCCGAGTTGGAAAAGAAAGAGCTGCATTGCACGTACGAGTTACAGTATGGTTTTCAGGCCACTAACACTTCCTTTTTCTTGTCTTCCACGCACAGAGACGTGAGACCTGGTGTCCAGGGGCTCTTCTTGCAAATGCTCCGCTCGCTTCAGCTGCTGCTCTTGCGGCAAACTCGGTGCAAGTTCGTCTGGCGCGAATCTCATCGAGCCCAAGCAGTGAGGAAAGCGAGTTTGATGAGATGTCCAGAGATGCGTTCCTATCAACTCTGGACGAAGAAGAAGAGCGAAAGAATTCTGAGGATGGCCGAAGAAAAGTGGGCTTTGCAAGTCCGCGAGCAAAGAGGTTTGTGTCTGCTATGCTTTGCCAGGTCACTCTTCCCGGAAGCGAGAAAGTAGTGGGAGAAAAGAGAAAAGAAATCTGGGAGAAAAAGGTTTCCATCCTCAAAGGTCAAACGTAGGCTCGATTACCAGCCAAAAAATAGAAATTGTGAAGCCTTGGAGCCGACTGGCCCATAGCTCCTGGTTTCTGTGGCATGAGGCGGCTAGGAGTATTTCTACTCCCCCTGGACGGAATACTAGTTCATCGCAGGTCACTCCCCCGCAATTTGTTAGGTTTCCCCAACAATTCGCCGGTACCCATTTATACTCCTGAGTGGAGAGAGGCATTGTCAGAGTTAAGTGTCTTGCACAAGAACACAACACAGAGTCCCCGGCCAGGGCTCGAACCCGGACCGCTCGCTCCAGAGTCGAGCGCACTAACCATGAGGCCACCGCGCCGAGCCAAAAGATAAAATGATAACAAAAGATAATACAGTCACCGAGAAAGGATAGTTCACGTCTTTGTCTTGTTCACCGCAATAGTAGAGAGACTTGTTATCAGTAAGTGTTACCTGCTCCATCGGCTCGTTATCTGCTTCACCACGTTTCTTATTTCTTCTATCTTTCACTTTAAAACTGTTTTCTGATCTACATCTGAAGGTGTTTGTCTCCAATAATCGACACGGCACAAGAGGATAAAGAAATGCAGACAGAGGTACAGATTTTTATTTGTTTTACCGCCATATTTATCTAAAATTACCACTAACTGGGCGCTGTTTTTGAAATAACCTCTAGGGCCGGTTTGTTCGAAAGCCGGTCAACGCTAATTTTTCTTGTATAAAATGTTTTTCACTGTTTATGTTTTGTGTAAATTCTCGCTGATCCTGTTTTAGCTTAATCGGACTTTGAACAACCCAGCACAGGTTGTATGGTCATAGTGCAGCTGACGGGATGAAAGTTAACTTGTGCCAAGATCCACATAAAAGAGTGAGATCTGGATTCCAGACGATAAGAAAGTGAAGAAAAAAGTCAAAATGTGGGGCTCCTTTATTGGCAATGGTTTCAGTTCCTTGTTGTTCAGTTTACCATAGTTTTCTCCGTGGACCAAGTCCTTCACGAAAAATAATCACTTTCAGTTTACATGTCCCCACATTCAAAATAGCTACTGCGGCCATGCAATATTGTAATCAACAACAGGTCGCTCTTTTCAGCGGCTAGGGTCAATATATTTTGTTGCTTTGTTTTGTTTTGTGTTTTTGTTTGTTTGTTTTTGTATAGAGAACCGTTTATATGAATCTAGTTTTGTGTAACTGTTGTTTTTTCCTTAGCCGGATGAAAAGTCGATTCATTTGGAACTTGAAGTTAAGACTTTGCGGAAAGAGCTGCACGAAGCCACCCAAACGCGAGATCTGTATCACGTAAGTAGGTCAATTGAACGAGAATTTGTTGATTGTTCCCAATCATTACTGACTTTTCTAACACAAGTGTACCTTTCACAGTCCAATTTGTTTCCTAGAAAATAACGTGTTTCGTTTATTTCACAGGAATTGTTGGAGGAAAGTAATACATTGCTGGATAAAATGTCAACCGAGAGCGGCCGAGGTCCAACTCCTACGGTTCGACCATTTTATTTCTTTTTGTTCAGTTTGCTTGTTTTGTCGTTGTTGTCGTTTTGCTTTGCGGTCTTTTCGCGGCTACGGCCGTTAAGTCGAGAACACAAGCAACAAAACCGAGGAGGAATGGGAAAAAGGACACATTCTCCTTCCTCTTCAGTCCTCTCGCGGTCGTGCCGCTAGCAGACGGCCATTTTTCGATTAAAAAAAAAACAGTCAGTAAGAACGCATTGGTCCATTGTTAATATTATAGAAATACAGTATTTTTTGGATTAAACTTACTTGATCCTATTTTCATTATACAGAACTCGGACATCACGCTGAAATACGTAGCAGAACTGAGAAACGAAAAAGCCGATCTAGAGGTATTTTGTAGTTTCTGTTTGTTTCAACGCTGAACGCTCTCATAAATGCAACCGACTCAACGGTTTATTTCCAAGTTGAAAATATCTTTACCGCAAGAAAATCGCACAGATGAATTCTTTTCTGCGATTCTCCCGCTACACCTTCCATTCTCAAAACAGTTTCTAAGGTGTGGGCCTAGCCCATCTCGCCCCCGGCATTTCAGTAGGGACACCTGTCATAGAGGGACACTTATGCAAGGCTGTGGTCTAAGACGATTTACAAGGAGCCCAAAGGTTCCTAACCATGAAATCCTGGGTGCCCAGCACTTAAGCGTATATGAAAAAAGTAAGTTTTTTCCAGCCGCCCTCAAGGCAAAAGTTAGTTGCCTGTGCCACCCGGGCGCTGCTAGTGCGCAGCCCTGCTTATGGTATTCCATTTTTTTCTGTTTATTTCCATCAGACTCAGGTTTCAGTGCTGAAGACACAGTGTCAGGATTTGGAGAATCTTAAAGCGAGGAACAAAGGTGAATATCGCGTTAGTTAAGGTCCTCCAGCCCCGAGACCTTCTTGCCAAGAGATTGTTAAAAATGTTACATTGGGAAAAAATAAGCTAATTTGAAAAGTTTTCGTTTCGTGGTCGGTCTCATCATTGTCCACGTTTAACGTTTGCGTTGGTTTTAGGTTTTCTTCGATTTAAAGACAAGTCTGACCATACATGTAGCAGTAAATGAATTTGCCAATAAATTTTTGACTTCTGTCGTTTCTGTCATGCTTTTAGTATTTCAAATAAAACAACGCATACTTTGTAGCTTGTACTCTTCTGGATAATAAGTAGTGGGGGAGGGGTAAGTATGTGCTGCGGCTATAACTTGATGGGGGAGGGGAGGGTTGTTGGAATTAATGTTAAAATTTAATTGTCAACGTGGGAAGAACAATATGTTTTCCGATTGGAAGAGAACGTGTCATGTGTCGTGGGTCAAAAACTCAGTAATTACCTAGGAAAACAACAACTTGAACTTACGATTCACACGTGATCAGGTCGTGCATCTTGAAACCGCGGCAAATTTGCTTAGCCAGCTGTTGTCAAGCAAATAATTTTTCGCAGTTTTTTCCTTCTATTTTTGAGTTGGGAGGTAAGACAAACACCAAATGACTCGCCTCGCCTAATATCTCGCTGTACGCGTAGTGACTACGTTTTTGCGGCTAACTGCTGTCCGAAAAATCTTTCTAACCTGGCTCTACGTTGAACCTCAACTAACGTTTTGTGCTTAATTTTAAACACAGAACTGGAAGGCGAAATTCAGTCACTTGAGGATGAGCGCACACTGTCCAACGAATATTTGTCCGAGCTGCAGGCTGAGTTTGAAAGTGTGCAGGCCGAAAAACAGGCTCTCGCAGCCAGGGTCGAAGGACTGGAGAATACAGGAGCACTCGACACTGCTGCTAAAATAGAATTGGGCTCGCTACAGATGAAGCTCGAGGAAAGTGAACGAGAGAAGGCGAGACTGGAAGAAAACCTTGATTCTTGGAGAGAGAGGTACGCTAGTCTTGAAAGCGATGTAGCGCGACTCCAAACTGAGCTTGTGTCTGCTGTGGACGACAAACGTCAATTTGAGGAAAGACTGACTGTAGCAACTGAAGAAGGCTCGTTGAGGGCAAAGGAACTTGAGATTCAAGTGAGAGAGTTGAAGGAAAGATTATCCAATGTGAACGAGCAGGAACGAATGATGACACTGGTTATCGAGGAGAAGTTGCAGCTGGAAGAAAACAAAAAATTGGAAGTCGATTCTTTGCAGATGGTTCTGGAGGAAAGAACACAAGAGAAGGAACGATTAGAAGAAAATCTGGAAACATGGAGACAAAAGTACGCTAGCCTTGAAAGCGATGTGACACGGCTTCAAAATGAACTTATTTTCGCTGTGGAAGAGAAGCGTAAATTCGAGGAAAGATTGTCTGTTGCGAGTGAAGAAAGCGCGATGAGAACAAAGGAACTTGAGACTCAAATGAAGCAGCTGGAGGAAAGGTTGTCCAGTGCCGACGAGCAGGAGCGAATGATGACTCAGGTAATCGAAGAGAAGTTACAGTTAGAAGAAAACAAGAAATTGGAAGTTGAATCTCTGCAGATGGTTGCGGAGGAAGGGAGACGAGAAAAGGAACGGTTAAAAGAAAATCTGGGAACATGGAGAGAAAAGTACGCTAGTCTTGAAAGCGATGTGACACGTCTTCAAAATGAGCTTGAGTCCGCTTTGGAAGAGAAGCGTCGATTTGAGGAAAGATTTTCTGTTGCAAGTGAAGGCACGGTGAGAACAAAGGAACTTGAGGTTCAAGTGAAGCAGCTGGAAGAAAGGTTGTCCAGTGTGGACGAGCAGGAGCGAATGATGACTCAGGTAATCGAAGAGAAGTTACAGCTGGAAGAAAACAAGAAACTGGAAGTTGATTCTCTGCAGATGGTTCTGGAGGAACGTACACGAGAAAAGGAACGGTTAGAAGAAAATCTGGAAACATGGAGAGAAAAGTACGCTAGCCTTGAAAGCGATGTGACACGTCTTCAAGATGAACTTGCTTCCGCGATGGAAGAGAAGCGTCGATTTGAGGGAAGATTGTCCTTTCCAAGCGATGAAGATTCAGAAAGAACGAAGGAACTTGAGATTCAAGTGAAACAATTGGAGGAAAGGTTATCTCATGCGGACGAGCAGGAACAAATGTTGACACAAGTAATCGAACAAAAGTTGCAGTTGGAAGAAAACGTGGACCACTTAAAAGCAGAACTTGTTCAAAGCAAGGAAAATTACGAAGCGAGTTCAGAAGAATTTAAAACAGAACAAGAAACCAAGATAACACAGTTGACGAAAGAACTGGAGCATGTGAAGGAACTGCTCCAGACGGCCTCGTGTGAATTTGAACAAAAAGACGTGATCCAACAAAAACGAGAAGTAGATGCAAAAGTGGTAAGCTTTACTGTTTTCATTGTTTTGTTCGTTTCTCATGCATAGATTTCTCGCCCTCCAGCCAGTCCAGTCCATTCGTAAAAATCAAAAGTGAAGGAATTGAGAAAAGTTAAGCCACACGTCGTGAAGAAGGCTTAAGGGTCAATTTTTTCATGGCAGAAAAAGTAGAGACATTTTTGTATGTCTGACCAGGGAGATTTTTGTGTTCTAGCTATTGAAGTCAGATAGTTATATTTTAACGTTGTTAATGGTTGTTTGATTAAAACTTGCTTGTAATATTCAGCAACAAGTTGTGCGATTTCTATATTCCCATCGTTCGCGGAGAGAAAATTGACGCTCACTCCCCTTGAGACTTTTTATCGACAGTTTTGGATTTTGGTGGAAAAAGCTCATTCTGAAAAGGAGGTGTAAAAATGACGGTGTTGTGTGTCTTGCAGTCTGACCTGGAATTGCAGCTTGAAAGAATGATCAATGAGAAGAAAGAATGTGAACAGACTCTGGAAAGGTCAGTGGAGTGGAATATTGTTTGCCTCCTAAACTAAATAAACAAACTAGCTGCTAAGTACTGTATCAAAGATTTCTCGGATATAAAGGCCTCGAGAGAGTTCTGCGGTCCGGCAGTAGAGACAGCCATGAAGCATGCAACAATAAAATAAAGATAGAATATATTTCAATTGACCGCTCCCCCAGCGAAGGTGGGGGGTGGGGGGGATCAAAAAAGTAAATGAACATACATGTAACATGGTTCAAAATCCCAACTGGGAAGAGGCAGACCAGTTGACTTATGGTCAGAGCGGAACTTGAACCCGAGACCTCCGGATTGCAAGTCGGGCGCTCTACCACTCGATCACCCTACCTTCTCCTAATAAGCAACAGTTTTTACCCTAGTTTGGCTTTGTCCTTTTATTTCATCACGTTACAATACTGCTCAGTAATTCTTTGGTTCTTTGGCTCTTGATTGAATGAAACTAACGTGGACAAAGAACAAAGGGGGCTTGCCTCACGATGGGGAGATTCTTATTTGATAAACTTTCCAAACTTAGAAATGAATCAGGAGCCAAACTTAAAACGATGTGCTACAAGGTACAAATTCAGTTTCGACAAAGATAGCCTAAACGGTAATATTTGTTGTGTTTGCTGAAGACTTAAAATAAATAAATGTTAATAATATTCTCTTCAGGGTCAAGAAGGAGAGAGATGAGATCAAAAATGATTTATCTGAATCCATCACTGACGTAAGTTATAGTAAAAATAAAGCCCATTTCCAGTGGTATTTATTTCAAAACTATTGGGGGTGGACTCAAAATGATCTATTTGCGTGAATTTGAGGCACCGGGTTACCCCATTTACAAAGGAAGAGCCTCATTTTGAAAGTGAGACAAGCAACTGGATGTGTATCGCGGTCAGTTATGATTGACATTTTTGTGGCAGTTACCAGTTTCTCATTTTCTGTTTTGGAGGACCTGGGTTCCAATACTTTGGAAACCCTGATCTGCCTGTAGATTTTGTGCAATCTACAGGCACACTTCAGAACATTAGTGTTCAATTTACTAGAAGTTCGATGACTGGTTGGCTTCGTTGTCTGTTTCTTTTTTTGTTTGGTTTTTTTGTTTGTCTGTTTGTTTGTGTTGAGTAAAAGATGATTTTCACTGCCAAAGGAATCGAAAGTGGAATTTATAGAGCTTGTATAAATACTAACCGAAAATATCACGTTCTGATCATGTTCACAATTTGCCGTGTTTATATGATTTCTGATGCTGAAACAAGCCTTAAACACTCTGCATGTTTCTTCTTTTTTATTTCTCTAGAATGCTGACTTGCAGAAGGATCTTTTAGAGATTCAGCAGAAAGTTAAACGGTACAAGGATCGCATACTTGAGCTTGAAAATGAGTTGGAACAGGGAGCGGCAGCAGTGACGGCATACGAGCAAAAGGTAACGCNAGGAGAGAGATGAGATCAAAAATGATTTATCTGAATCCATCACTGACGTAAGTTATAGTAAAAATAAAGCCCATTTCCAGTGGTATTTATTTCAAAACTATTGGGGGTGGACTCAAAATGCAAAATGACCTATTTGCGTGAATTTGATGCACGGGGCTACCCCATTTACAAAGGAAAAGCCTCATTTTGAAAGTGAGACAAGCAACTGGACGTGTATCGCGGTCAGTTATGATTGACATTTTTGTGGCAGTTACCAGTTTCTCATTTTCTGTTTTGGAGGACCTGGGTTCCAATACTTTGGAAACCCTGATCTGCCTGTAGATTTTGCGCAATCTACAGGCACACTTCAGAACATTACTGTTCAATTTACTAAAAGTTCGATGACTGGTTTGGTTTGTTGCCTGTTTCTTTGTTTGGTTGGTTTTTTGTTTGTCTGTTTGTTTGTGTTGAGTAAAATTTGATTTTCACTGCCGAAAGAATCGAAAGTGGAATTTGTAGAGCTTGTATAAATACTAACCGGAAACATCACGTTCTGATCATGCTCACAATTTGCTGTGTTTATAATGATTTCTGACGCTGAAAGAAGCCTTAAACACTCTGCATGTTTTTTTTTCTTTTTTATTTCTCTAGAATGCTGACTTGCAGAAGGATCTTTTAGAGATTCAGCAGAAAGCTAAACGGTACAAGGATCGCATACTTGAACTTGAAAATGAGTTGGAACAAGGGGCGGCAGCCGTCACGGCATACGTGGAAACGGTAACGGACTGCTTTCACTTACAGTCTCAACGGTTCTTTAACATGTCACGAAATGTCTGTCGAACCTCTGCAGTTTGAGTTTAGCCGTTTGGGTCTAGGAGTTAATAATACCAATCATCCTGTCAATGCATTGGAATTTGACAAAGTAACGCCAACTTTGAAAAACAAAGTTTGCTTTCTGGCATTTGTAGCTCTCTAAACAAATTCGTGGCTTGCACTGTCACGCAATAACAAAATAGTTCGAAAACCATTCAGTTAGGAAATTGTGATGTTACAGGAGATTGGTAAAGAAGACACTTCTCCAAGTTTTCAGTCTGTGTGTTTCCCTAAACATCAGATATTCGTCGAAATATTTTGCACAAATTTACAAAGCCCAGTATAGAGCCGCCATGTTGGTGTACCTCCGTGGGAGACCAACATGGCGGCCGGAAAATAGTGTAAACGTCTGGAACTGACTTTGTCTATCTAGGCGACTGATTTTCTGTACTCAACAAACAAGCATTTACATAAGCACTTTTCCTACTACTTTAACTTCTGAAAAGGCTGAAAATCACGAGATAAGTATATATTTTTCGACAAACGCGTTCGTAGCTTTATGTCACGCACCGCCATAACTCTGAAATTCAAAATGCGCTGGTTTCATACGAAGCAAGCTACTGAGCTGAAAAGTTGTAAACAGATATAAATTTACCCCCTCGTATGCCTGATGAGGGTAAAAACTTTGGTGGCTCTTTAGTGTTAAATTTTAAAAAATGATGACGTCACGTACAAGCCAAGGATAAAACATCATGAAACACACATTTAACTTTAGCCGCTGCGATATTGGATTTCCTTGTTTNGTTTTGACAGCTGTCAATTAACCATAACATGGATGCTCAAAATCAAAGATGTAGCTATGGTAATGGTGCTACCCTCTTATTTTTCAAGGTATAGGCATATATGGATGGGCATACGGACTGACGTACGCACGGACAGTCACGTGACAACCAAATTTTTTTTAGATCGATGGGTAACCAAATTTCGAAGGTATGGTGCTCCGTTCGCGCGCCCAGGAGCTCCAATATAAACCAAACGGTACTTCGAGACTTTCTTAGCCTTGAAAAAATCGACAGATAACCGCTGAACAAAAACAGAGACCGCCAGACCCTTAAAATTAGACGAAAATTTTGCGAGACCAATGGTTTTTACATTATAAAGGGCCATTCGCCGTTCAATATATATATTTATTATCTGCAGAAAAGAACACTCCTCTCTAGCCGAAGAGTTGCAGCACCTCAAAGACTCTCTGTTAAGAGATACAAACCGAGGAATGGATCAGCAAAGGGTGATTGACAAGATGAAGGCGGAGAGACGAGAAACAATCTGCGTCCAGGCCCACCAACGCCAAGAACTTGAAAGAGACCTGGGCGAAGCAGAGAAAAAGGCATAAGCTCTATTCTTCTGATTTCTGGTTTCACTCAGATCAGACAAATCGCATGGAAGAGTTGCTCAAGAGCTTTCATGTGCTTCCATTTCAATGGTCACACACTAGGGTTTCATCCACATACTTAAAAGTTAGAACCACCTTTTACAGCATATTAAGCAGTACCACATGAAAGTACTGCTTAATGGTCATACACTAGGGCTTCATCCGCAGACGTAAAAGTTAGAATCACATAGTAGAGCATAACAAACAGTACCACATGAACGAACCGTTCAAAACCTTTCATTTGAATGGTTACACACTAGGGTCTAGTCCACCGGCTTAAAAATTAACTGTTATAACAAGCTTATACAGTAACCAGCTTGTACACAACCTAGAAAGTTTGAAACACTTCCATCAGTATATCAAAATACAAGTTTCGGTACCACGCCTGATATCTTGCCTTCTTTATTTTCAGGTTTCTGAGTTAGAATCCCAGTGCACTCTCTTGAAGAGCGAGAAAGACCTTCTGGAGCACCGTCTTGAGGTGGCCAATAAGAAAGTGGAGGAAACTAGACAAGAGATGCGTGACGTGGAAAACCTACACAGCTCACACATCATCCGCGCTGTCACGCAGCTGGGTGACGACAAGGCCATGCAGAAGATCAAGCAGATGGAGTTCAGCATAGACCTCACCAAACAGAAATGCGATAAGGCTGAGAGACGAGTGAAAGAGTTGGAAAATGAGAACCGTCAGCTCAAGGGCGCAGACATTCGTAATGGAGCCTTGATGGAAGAACGTGACAACCTCAAACAGCAAGTGCAGCAGGCTAAGCAGCTTTTGGACGANAGCCGAAGAGTTGCAGCACCTCAAAGACTCTCTGTTAAGAGATACAAACCGAGGAATGGATCAGCAAAGGGTGATTGACAAGATGAAGGCGGAGAGACGAGAAACAATCTGCGTCCAGGCACACCAGCGCCAAGAACTTGAGAGAGAACTGTGTGAAGCAGAGAAAAAAGTATAATCTCTATTTTTCTGATTTCCAGTTTCACTCAGATCAGACAAAACCTCATGAAAGACTTGCTCAAGAGCTTTCATCTGAATGGTCACACACTAGGGTTTCATCCGCAGACTTAGAATCAAGCTCATACAACATAATATACAGTACCACATGAAAGAACCATTCAAAAGCTTTAATTTGAAGGGTCACACACTGGAGTCTAGTCCACAGACTTAAAAATTAACTGTTATAACAAGCTTACACAGTAACCAGCTTGTGCACAACCTAGAAAGTTTGAAACACCTCGATCAGTATGGCAATATGAAAAAATACAAGTTCCGGTACCACGCCTCACATCTTGCCTCCTTTTTTTCCAGGTTTCTGAGTTAGAATCCCAGTGCACCCTCTTGAAAAGCGAGAAAGACCTTCTGGAGCACCAGATTAAAGTGGCCAATAAGAAAGTGGAGGAAACTAGACAAGAGATGCGTGACATNAGCTGGCAGAAGAGAAGAGTCAATTAGAAAGTCTTGCTCAATCCCAAACAGTCGCTCTTGAGGAAGAAAGGAAGAGATTGGAAGAAGAAATGGCTCGAGTCGCTGGCCTCTGTGAGGAATTGGAGAAAGTAAGAGCAACGAATGTACAATTAGAAAGAGAGGGCATAAGGCTTACAGAGGAGAATGACAAACTGGAAAGTCTTGCCCAATCGAAAACCTTCATTATTGAGGAAGAAAGGAAAAGGTGGAAAGAAGAAATGGCTCAATTCGCTAGGCAGTTCGAGGAAGAGAAAACTCTACTAAAAGAGCAGTTGCGTGAAATCAGTGCCTTAAAAGTCAAGGAGAGTGAAGATTGCTATTCAGAGAAGGACGAAAAAATCAAGAACTTGGAGACTAAACTGGTGGCTGCTACTAAGAGCTGTGCGGACTACAAGGAAAGCGTCGAACACTACCAGCTGAAATTGGCCAAGGCCGAGTACGAACTGGACAACACTGTGTCCAGGCTTGCCCAACTGGAAAAACAGGTATTTGATTCTCGTTAATTAGATCACACATTGAAAAGTAATTCAGTTGCTCCGCAAGCGAAAAGGTTTGTGTTGTGGAGAAAAAAAAAACGCTGTATAAGTATAGCTCGTTGCTTCACAAACTAACACGTGGCAAACTGCCGTACGTTTTTTTCTGAGAAAAAACAACAACCAAGCAAACTTCAAAACAGCTTTTATCGATTAATCTTCATCACATTCCTTACTTTGCGAGCATACACCTCAGTTCTTTTTGGGCGCTATGAACACCGTGACTCAACTTTTGAGACCAGTAGTGTCACTTTTGTATAAGTACGCGTGGAAGGGAACCTTATTTGTCTATATTTACGAAGCACAAAAATGTATCTCAGCACGAAATTTATTGGTCATCTCGGAAATTAATTTGTAAAACAAGTTTTTGTTTACAGAATTCCTTGGCGAAATGTAGATAATGGTAATTTTGATAACTATCTAGATATGAATATGGTACTCGCCAAACGGATAATTGATTCATGATTAGCACTTGCCCAGCACTTAAACACTTTTGACATTCTCATGGGCGAACGGACGAGCGGGAACCACTTTCCAACATTCAAGTGTTATAGTTATCACATTAATCATTCCTTTTATACTTTGATGTTTCCTTAAATTGCAATTTACGTGCAGCACTTGGACACATATACCCATTAACCAATGACGTTCTAACCTTATGGAGTTAAAGGCACTATAATCTGTCCCACACAAGTACCCATTGTATACCTATTTTTTGTTGTTGACATGTGCAGAACTCCACGAATACAACGGATGTCAAAGAAATGGAATCATTGCGAAAAGAATGCGAGGCAGCTAAGAAAAAGACGAAAGCGACGCTTGAAAAATACTTTGCTGAATCCGACAGACTCAAAGCCATCATAGATGAAATGCAAGGTACGTGTGTAGACCTGACGGAAGGCTGATACTCTCAACGTCAGCTGGAATTCCTTAACTGATCACCCTAACGTTCTCCCGCTGTGGACGTTAAAAAATCTTTTGTCAAATTTATGGTCTCTTTCTTCGCATACGCATACAGCGAACAGCTACCAATGAGACTAAAATTCGTGTTATTTTTAAGCTCTAACTGCCCAGTAACCAAATCAATATTTAAATTAATAATTTCTTGTTCGGAATGTTCACTGGTATGGTACCTACCATTCAATAACAGTTACACGATTATAACAAGATTATCAAAGAATTTATCGCTCGACATTTTAGAGTGATTATATTATACAAGCTCCTTTCAAAATACAAGAGAAAACTAACCTTAGTAGTTCATCGTAGTGACTTGAAAAAAGAAGCTTATCGTTCTTAATTGCAGATGAAGAGGAAGATTATGTTCGCCAAATTGATGAACTTAAAGTAAATGCTGCCAAGAAAGATGCCGAATTGTCTCAACTACGTGCTGACCTGGCCGAGGTGAAGAAGGTGAATAATAGGTTTGATAATTTGAACTGCTTTGAACTTTATTTTCTGTTTAAGCGATTATTAAACAAATTTGAGGAAAACGTTGCGGTTTGTTAGTCGCAAACACCCATTGATTTGTCGATTCCGAAGGCAAATAAACAGTCAAATAACTGCTTAATCACCAAGTAATAAAACAACATTCAAAGAATAGAGCGGTTTTCAATTGAGTGTCGAAAGTAATTAGGCAATTATTGATTTTACTTCGGTTTGAGATTGCATGGTAAGCAATTAGTTTGGTTTTGATTTTACGACACTCGATTGAAAACTACTCTAACTAATGACAAATAAAATAACAAACGAGCGATCTGCGAGAAACTGACTTATTACGATCATTATTGTTGTGTTTAAATTGAATTTGGAATCGTGATAATAATACAGTCGGCAGATTATCTGACGATATCTGGCACCCACCAATGAAGAATGTTAAATTGTTTTAAAAATACTTCCAGAATTTTAGACCTTCGTAAGTGCTAAGGCCCCGATGCTCGAGTGTTATATAGTATAACAGCCGTGATATAAAAATGCTTTGCGTCGCTTTCTTTGCAGTAATGGTGGCGAGATTTAGAACATGATTCTACTTTTTGAACACTTGCTGCAACCCGACTTTGCGAGACATTTCAGGGGGTGTTACACAAAGCAACCTCTGAACTTGTCTCGCAACGGTAGGGAATGCTGGCGAAACATGTTGCTCGACACATTACCCATTGCATTTATGTTCCTTTCTTGCACTTTAAGACTCAGAATTCCGCTAGACCAGTGGACCACAGCGAGATAGAATCATTGAGAAAAGAATGCGAAGCGGCGAAGGAGAAGACAAAAAAGACACTGGAGAAGTACTTTTCGGAGTCCGACAGACTCAAAGCGATCATTGATGAACAACAAGGTATTTTACATTCACAGGCGTGGTGGAGGCGCGGTGGCCTCAACGTTAGCGCGTTTGACTGTCGATCAAGTGGTCGGGGTTCTACCCCTGGCCGGCAACATTACGTTGTGTTCCTGGGCAGTACACTTTACCCTCCCAGTGCTTCCNAAAAAAAAAAAATGAAAACCACCCTCTTTTGGTGAGCCTGTTTCATCAAACCTTTCAGGAAAGCTTTGAGTTAGGCGTTCACCATTTACGCTCTTCGAAACCCGATATCATGTTTGCAATCTTCTTACGTTGTCACTCGGCCGTGAATGAAATATACCAGAGTAACTTATTATAGCTCTTTTTTCTTCGACTGACTGACTGGCTGTCTGATTTTTTTGATGTCTATTCATTGTTTTAGGAGTCTGCCCTAGAGCAACTTAACACAACGATTCGCGTAAAACACGAAGAGCTGGAACACATGACGTTCCTGGTGGACGAAAAAGACATTGAAATTGCAGAGGTACGTTCCAACCTACAGGAAAACGAGTTCAAACAACTTGAAATGGTGGAAAAGTTCCGACAAAATGAAGAGCGGTTACGTGAACTAGAGAGCGAGCTAAGCGACGTGAACAAAAATCTTCAGGAGGCGAGAAACGGTCGCGAAGAAACCGATGCTAAGATAATGGAACTCAAAGAAATAATACAGCAGCAGGAATCAGAATTAATCTCGATGAACGAAAAAATTGAATCGAGTAATGTGGAAAGCAAGACGCAAAGTCAGGAAATTAGTTCAAAGAACGAAAAGTTGGAAAGCGACCTTCAAGAAATGCAGCACAAGCTTCTTGAAGTAGAAACCGAACTTGAATTTACTAAAAACAGCTTGGACAACGCGGTCGCTGAAATTGAAGGCCTGAATAATGGGATAAAGAAGGCCCTTGAAGAAAAAGAAGCGTTAGAGGTGAAACTTCGCGAGTTCCAGACGTCCTTTAAGAGGCAAAATGCCGCTTTTAATGAACAAATAGATGAGCTTCACATATCAGTTTTAAACGAAAATGAGCTTGTGGTCGAGCTGGAAGATAAAGTCTTACGATGGCAGAAAAGCAAGGACGCCACTGAAGATGAAATTCGACGTGTTCTCGCGAATCGACAGGACAACGTCTCCAAAGAAGAAATGGAAGCGAAAATTTCAACTGTTGTTAATTCGGAAAATGTTCTGCGCCAGGAAATTGAAAAAGAGAAGGAGAAGAACGCGCAATTAGAAAATCAAGTATGGAAGCTGGCAGAAGAGAAGAGCCAATTAGAAAGTCTTGCTCAATTCCAAACAGTCGCTCTTGAGGAAGAAAAGAAGAGATTGAAAGAAGAAATGGCTCGAGTGGCTGGCCTCTGTGAGGAATTGGAGAAAGTAAAAGAAACAAATGTACAATTAGAAAGAGAGGGTGTAAGGCTAACAAAGGAGAATGACACATTAGAAAGTCTTGCGCGATCGAAAACCTTCATTGTTGAGGAAGAAAGGACAAGATGGAAAGAAGAAATGGCTCAATTCGCTGAGCAGTTTGAGGATGAGAAAACTCTACTAAAAGAGCAGCTGCGTGAAATCTGTGCCTTAAAAGTCAAGGAGAGTGAAGATTCCCATTCAGAGAAGGACGAAAGAATCAAGAACTTGGAGACAAAACTGGTGGCTGCTACTAAGAGCTGTACGGACTACAAACAAAGCGTCGAGCACTACCAACGGAAATTAGCCAAGGCCGAATACGAACTGGGCAACACTGTAATCAGGCTTGAACAACTGGAAAAACAGGTATTTGATTTCTTGTTAATTAGATAACACATTTAAAAGTAATTAAATTGCTCTGCGAGCGAAAAGGTTTGTGTTGTGGAGAAAAAAGAACGCTGCATAAGTATAGCTCCTAGCTTCACAAACTAACACGTGGCAAACTGCCGAACGTTTTTTTCTGAGGAAAAAAAGCAGCAACCAAGCAAACTTCAAAACAGCTTTTATCGATTAATCTTCATCACATCCCTTACTTTGCGAACATACACCTCAGTTCTTTTTGGGCGCCATTAACACCCTGACTCTACTTTTGAGACCAGCAGCAGGGCTTCAAATAACGGCCGATCAACGGACATGTCCGGTCAAAAAAAGGTTTTGTCCGGTCNCTTCAAATAACGGCCGGTCAACGGACATGTCCGGTCAAAAAAAGGTTTTCTCCGGTCAAATCCTTAGATGGCCGGACAACTTGTCCGGCCGTTTACGCTGGTAAGGAAACAGTTTAGAGTTTCAATTTTTAATATTTAAAGGTTCAATATATTGGCGTTTGTGAAAAAGGTGGGGAAAAGGCGGATACTTATCTACTAGACCAAGAACTTTTAATAAATGATAAGCAATAGTCACCAAGTCGTCACTGCAAACTTTTAGCGGGTGTGAATTACTTTATTGCTTATTTTATGGTCCGTGTGGGTTTTGTAAAAATGACGTGAGCACAAGGGTGTGAAAATAACAATAACAAGAAAGCAAGTTCACATCCATTTGTCTACTCGTCGACATTTTTGTGTGAATCACTTAAGCTATAAATACCGCGATTAACTAAACATTCTATATTCCAGGCTTTTCCTGCATTGAGATCGATGCCCATGTACAATAAATGCTTTGAAAATTTACTTAAACATCATGTGAAGGGGGGGGGGGCACTTTCATAACGATAAGACGTAATCGATGTTTGTCCGGCCAAAAATGGGATATGTACGAGCAAAAATAGGTTTGACCGGACAATTTGACCGGAAAATTATTTGAAGCCCTGAGTGTCACTTTGGTATAAGTGCGCGTGGAAGGAAACCGTATCTGTCTATATTTACGAAGCACAAAAGTGTATCTTGGCACAAAATTTATTGGACATATCGGAAGTAAATTTGTAAAAAGGAGTTTGTGTTCACAGCATTTCTTGGCGAAATGTAGATAACAGTAATTTTAATAACAGTCTAGATATGAATATAGTACTCGCCAAACGGTCAAGTGATTAATGATTAGTTCTTGCCCGGCACTTTGGCACTCCCTTTGTCAAACGGGCGGGCGTGGTCAAACGACCAATTCCCAACATTCAATTATGATTATTTATACCTTGATGTTTCCTTAAATTGCTATTTACGTGTAGCACTTGAACACACATGTGCCTATTAACCAATGACGCCCTAACGGCAAAATAATCAATCGTGCACAAGTACCCATTGTATACCTATTTGTTGTTGTTGTTGTTGTTATCTGCAGACTTCCGCTTATACAACGGATGTGAATGAAATGGAATCATTGCGAAAAGAATGCGAGGCGGCCAAGAAAAAGACGACAGCGACGCTTGAAAAATACTTTGCTGAATCCGACAGACTCAAAGCCATCATAGATGACATGCAGGGTATGTGTGTAGACCTGACGAAAGGCTGATACTCTTAACGTCAGTTGGAATTCCTTAACTCATCACTCTAATCTTCTCCCGCTGTCGGCGTTAAAAAATCTTTTGTCAAATTTATGATCTCTCTCTTTGCATAGGCATACCGCGAACATCTACGAATGAGAGTGAAAATCATGTTATGTTTAAGACGAAATCCGATAAGAAATCGAGTAATTTCAGTTTTTTTTTTGTGGACAAAAGTCTTGTACCAGAATAATTTTAGGTATTTTACACTGAGACATTGCGCAAACACAGGTAAAATTTCGCCATCAGTTTCAATTTGCCAGTACTTTCAAGTATTTCATATGAACTTCAACAGTTGTTTTCGACATGTGGTGTTGTTAGAATATTTTTTTCAGAAGATATTTAAAACAGTCCCACAGAAGTTTGAAACACTATGTAAATAATCTTGGTACAAAGTTTTTGTTCACTTGCTACTCGAACTTCTGTTGGATTCCTTCTTAAGTTCTAACTGCCCAGTAACCAAATCAATATTTAAATTAGTAATTTATTGTTTGTGATGTTCACTGGTATGGTACCTACCGTTCATTAACAGTTACACGCCCGGTTTGGGTTATCAAAGAAGTCATCGCTCAACATTTTAGAGTAATTATATTATACAAACTCCTTTCAAAATATAAGTGAAAACTAACCTAGTAGTTTATTGTAGTGGCTTGAAAAACAGGCTTATCGTTCTTAATTGCAGATGAAGAGGAAAATTATGTTCGCCAAATTGATGAACTTAAACAAAACGCTGCCAAGAAAGATGCAGAATTGTCTCAACTACGAGCAGACCTGGCCGAGAGGAAGAAAGTGAGGAATAGGTTTGATAATTTGGACCGCCTCAAGTGTTATTTTCTAATCTTTTCTGTTTCAGCGATTATGAGACGATTTGAGGAAACCGTTGCAGTTTGTTAGTCGCGAACACACATTGATTTGTCAATTCCGAAGGCAAATAAGCAGTCAAATGACTGCTTAATCAATCACAATAAACAAAGAACAGAGCGGTTTTCAATTGAGTGTCGAAAGTATTTACGCAATTATTGATTTTACTACGGTTTGAGATTGCATGGTAAGCAATTAGTTTGGTTTTGGTTTTACGACACTCAATTGAAAACTGCTCTAACTAATGACAAATTAAAAAACAAACAAGCGATCTGCGAGAAACTGACATTTCACGATCAGTATTTTTGTGTTTAAATTGAATTTGGGATCATGATGATACAGTAGTCGGCAGATCATCTGATGATATCTGACACTCATCAATGAAGAATGTAAAGTTCTTTTAAAAATACTTCAGAATTTTAGATCTTCTTAGTGCTACTAGTAAGGCCCCGATGCTCGAGTGTTATATAGTGTAACAGCCGGGGTGTAAAAATGTTTTGCGTCGTTTTCTTTGTAGTATTGGTGGCGAGATTTAGAACATGATTCTAATTTCTGAACACTTGCTGCAACCTGACTTTGCGAGACATTTCAGAGGGTGTTACACAAAGCAACCTCTGAACTTGTCTCGCAACGGTAGAAAATGTTGGCGAAACATGTTGCTCGNTTTATTTTCTGTTTAAGCGATTATTAAACAAATTTGAGGAAAACGTTGCGGTTTGTTAGTCGCAAACACCCATTGATTTGTCGATTCCGAAGGCAAATAAACAGTCAAATAACTGCTTAATCACCAAGTAATAAAACAACATTCAAAGAATAGAGCGGTTTTCAATTGAGTGTCGAAAGTAATTAGGCAATTATTGATTTTACTTCGGTTTGAGATTGCATGGTAAGCAATTAGTTTGGTTTTGATTTTACGACACTCGATTGAAAACTACTCTAACTAATGACAAATAAAATAACAAACGAGCGATCTGCGAGAAACTGACTTATTACGATCATTATTGTTGTGTTTAAATTGAATTTGGAATCGTGATAATAATACAGTCGGCAGATTATCTGACGATATCTGGCACCCACCAATGAAGAATGTTAAATTGTTTTAAAAATACTTCCAGAATTTTAGACCTTCGTAAGTGCTAAGGCCCCGATGCTCGAGTGTTATATAGTATAACAGCCGTGATATAAAAATGCTTTGCGTCGCTTTCTTTGCAGTAATGGTGGCGAGATTTAGAACATGATTCTACTTTTTGAACACTTGCTGCAACCCGACTTTGCGAGACATTTCAGGGGGTGTTACACAAAGCAACCTCTGAACTTGTCTCGCAACGGTAGGGAATGCTGGCGAAACATGTTGCTCGACACATTACCCATTGCATTTATGTTCCTTTCTTGCACTTTAAGACTCAGAATTCCGCTAGACCAGTGGACCACAGCGAGATAGAATCATTGAGAAAAGAATGCGAAGCGGCGAAGGAGAAGACAAAAAAGACACTGGAGAAGTACTTTTCGGAGTCCGACAGACTCAAAGCGATCATTGATGAACAACAAGGTATTTTACATTCACAGGCGTGGTGGAGGCGCGGTGGCCTCAACGTTAGCGCGTTTGACTGTCGATCAAGTGGTCGGGGTTCTACCCCTGGCCGGCAACATTACGTTGTGTTCCTGGGCAGTACACTTTACCCTCCCAGTGCTTCCCTCCACCCTGGGCTGGGTTGTTCCAAAGCCGTTTACCCCGTACGCAGAATTAAAAGTTAACCGAAATATTGGTTTTTCTCGTATAAAACTGTTTTTCATTGCTTATGTTTTTTTGTAGCTTGAGATTATTCAAACTCTAAAATGAAGGACAACCAACATAAACAGAAAAGCTCCGCATCAAACAACCTCACCACTTTTTGGGGTGTTCTCTCTTTCTATTCAATAACAAGATAAAAAAAAAGCTACATGTAGTTTATAGCAAGCCTTAAGCTATACTGATTAAAACACGTCGTTTTAGCCGGCACACTGTCCCGTTAAGTGATTTCATTTAAAATAGACCATAGTTGTAAACAGCTCAATTTCCTGTGTATTTATAATCGCAGAGATAATCGACAAAGCAGAGAACGTGAGAGAAGCTGAAGAGAAAATGGAAGCTACCCGCATTGAGCTAGCTCAAAAGAACATGCAGCTACAATCACTGCAGTATGACTTGTACAAACTGCAAGAAAAATACGACAAGGAAACGACCTCACTCACAAAAGAAGTGGAGTGCAGTAGGGAGAAAGTTGGATTACTGAAGCTGGAAATAAGGAGACTGAAGGAACAAGAGCCAGAAGATACTATAAGTTTCTTGCGGTGAGGCAAAACTATTTAAACATTACTTTATAAAATCGAGATATCTATGAGGGGATGGGTCATGAGCCCGAATAACGGTTTGTGCGAGCGAGCTCATCAGATTTCCTCAACGATTTCGAGTTTTTAAAGTCGAGTAATGGTGAATGTCCTCTCAGTAATGATTTAAAATCTTTCTATTTTTCCGAGACTTCAGAAAAACGGAAAGGCGCTAACTATTGCGTACTCATGGTGACATTGTGCTCTAGTTAAGCCAATCAGACAGCCAAATTTGCGTTATCGGTCAAATAGACTTCTACTAATTGTCAAAATATCGATAAGCTCAGAAAGTAGTGGCAGTCATGTTTTCCTATTTAGCAGCCTTTTCTTGTCGCTACTCTCGGGTGGTTCTGTTTCTTTCGCTTTTTACCCTAATCATCGCTTCTTAGGGCGGTTTTCAATCGAATGTCGTAAAACTAAAGCTAAAGTAATCACTCTAACCAATCACAAAGGACACGGGCAATACAATGACCCAATCAAACCTCGAAGTAATTACATGTACCTGACACAAAGCGCGGGAAAACGTGTGCGAGTGAGTCACGATTGGTTTTTGTTTTACTTCTGATTGGATGAAAAATTGGCGCGAATTTTGTTAAACCAATCGTGTGACGTGGTGATGCAACTCCGATGAAAACCGTTCTGAAAGATCGAGAATTTTTGGAAATTTAAGGATAAGATATCTATCGTTAAAACCAATCTTTCTACCTTTATTACAGTGGTCAGCCTGTTACCTTGAAGCAGAAACAAGACAGTGATGTTGGAGTAATTTCAAATGTAGCTATGTACTCGCTTAAGGCCAAGGTTGGAAAACTGGAGAGCGAGAACCAGAACTTAAGCGAGAAAGTTCATCAACTTGAAAGGGAAAAGGCGACGTTAAGCTTGCTCAATACAGAATCAAGGTATTCTGTTCATTTTTGTTTTTGTTTGTTTGTTTGTTTGTTTGTCTGCTTGCTTGTCTAGTAAGTTGTTTTGGTTTATTAGAAAGAATTTTCACTCAGTCTTATGGTAACTAGACTACTTGTTTTCACACTGACGCAAAATAGGCCCTTTGCACGATCCGGTCACATGGTACGGAATTAATTATGCTGGGACGCGAGTTACAGAGTGGGATTTCCAAAACAAAGGAACTCGTACCAGTCCAGCCCGACTGTCCTTTGTTTTGAAAGTCCCACTGTGTAACTTGCGTCCCATCATAATTAATTCCGTGCCATGTGACCGGATCGTGCAAAGGGCCTATTGAAAGTACATGTTGTACTAACATGAAATATCTTTGCTGAAAGTCTTAATTTATTTCTTACTACAGGCAAACACGGGAATTTAGAGAATAGGTTATACATTCACAGCATACTCGATTTCTATCCATAATGTTTATCTTCGGTTTTCACCGCAACTATGGTGTAGTGAACCAAGTCATTTTAAAAAGCGATACAGTTTCACAAATTTCTTCGTAATGTCCTTGTTGAGGCTATTATTGTTATTATTCTTCTGTGGAGTCGGAGAAGGGTTAGAATGCTGTTCTGTAATCTATTTGTTTTTGTTGTTGTTGTTGTTGTTGTTTTTTGTTTTGTTTTGTTTTTTTTGTTTTTTTCATCCATGATATAAGCGCAACGCAATTGATATTTGGTTTGTCTTGGTTTGAAAGAGCTTGTCGTAGACTACTTTTCTACAGTGATGAATTATAAGTTGACCTGAGTCTGCTGTTATTTTGCAGTAACAAAGTCACCCAGCTAACAAGCGAAAACAGAGCCCTTAAGAAGAAAAGGCGTATAGAAGAGAGAGACGTCGGTAGACGACCTCCAGAAGGTAAACCGAGGAATACAAAATTCTTCCTTCCTCCCTTCCTCCCTCCATCCCTTCCTCCCTTCCTCCTTCCTTCCTTCCTTCCTTCCTTCCTTCCTTCCTTCCTTCCTTCCTTCCTTCCTTCCTTCCTTCCT